GTTTTTCCCAAAGTCCACATATTATCATGAAGAGATATACTCTCTCACGGTAGATGAAAAGAAAAAAATCTTTCATTATTTGCTAAATTTTTGGCAGCAAATGAAGGAATAAAAATGCGTCTTTTGAATGTAATGATCACTTGATGCGTGATACTTGATATTTGATAATGACATCTATGTGAAATCCCTCAAGGATTCAATAAGAAACATGAATCTAATTCTCAAGAAATTAATTCAAAAGATTTGTGCAAGTTATAATGTTTTCATGTGTATAGACAAATATTTAGGTGCATATGTATTTTTTTAATATTACAGATATTACTGTTTATGCACTCATTTATATATTTTTTTAATCCGAATATGTTATGCATGTCTACCACACGATTGTTTGTGGTTTCCTATGAGCTTATATGATTATATTAGCATAAATCACTATTTGAATGTGAGTTTTCAGTTACTTATACGTGTTTATTATTTGGTTAGTAATAAACTCTTGTAAAGTACTTAAAATTATCAAAATTTCTCATAGAATTTGAATACCCTTTATATCATAAAACTCTTGAACAATTCATCATAATTATTAACACCTCAAAAGAAGTTTAAAAGGTTGCTACTTTCCTGAAATAAGAATAATGAAATATTTTGAGTACAATCCTGGTCTATGTAGTTGACCTTGGTATATATACATTTCATACATGTTGAACGCACTTGATTAAAATCTTGAAGTAATAAAAATCCTTTTTACGATCTTTTGTTAATAATGGAAATCTATTTTGTCTTGAACTACCATATTCTAATACTTTTAAAGTATCTGTTTATCTAATCAATTTGTCAAGATATTCGAATATTTTTATTGATATCTTCAACACACAATGGTAATTGATCTTTATTATTATAAAACACTCAAAACTACACATGGTATACGAAGATCATCTGCATGAGAAGTTGAAGTCGTCTGTCTATTATCGACTTCAACAATTGTGAACTTAATCAACATCTTGGCATGCGACGATAATATCACAATTAATGTACTCAACAGAGGGAGTAACCACATACTGTAATCTTTGTCCCTTTGATGAGGTATTGTCCCAATGAGTTTTAATGAGAAGGTTTTTAACGAGGGAGTATTATATTTTGATATGTACTCTTTTTGCTTGATTAGATTTTCATCCCACTAGATATTTTCTAGTAAGGTTTTAACGAAGTATAATTCTGTGAAAATGCACATTCAAAGGGGGAGTTATAAAATGTTTGAATTGAATGAATGTCCACAATTAATTTTCATTATTCCTGTAATCTCTGACATATGATTCATATATAATTTATAATATTCTTAGAGTATCTTTTATTAATGATTCTGATTGTATTCACTCATCCTATAACGTGTATAAATAGATGAGTTATACAATACCAAAAAAAAGATAGATTAATAGAAAGCAATCCCCTTTTCATATTGTCTCTATTCTTATAGTTTTATCTTCTTCCTTCGTTTGTAATATTTCATAACAAAGAAGGTTTAATTGTTGCATCGATGTCTATTTTATGGTACTATTTTGTGGGGAGCGTATTTTGGCAAACGTCTCTCAACTATTATTTTAAACACTCTTTATGTTCATAACGGGTTTGATTTCGAATCATAGTTATACTAGGCCAATATGTTTTACCCACCTTGTGTCTTAATTTAACACCTTTCTAATAACTAGCAGGTAGAGAATTTACCAAACTATATTCGCAAAAATTCACAATCATTCTTTAATCGGGTAAATGAAGTCAATTCGAATCTAAAATAATTTTATTCTTGTGCATTTAACAAGTATTGCCTCCCAAGCTCCTAATTAAATAGCTATGTTCATGGTTTTTTTTTTCCTTAGATATCCTAAATTATTTTATGAACATTTTAAAAGTATTAGCCCTTAATAGTCCGGTTTGTAGAATTTGAATGGTGCAGATTATAAAAATAACGTGGGGTGAGGTGGAAGGAGACGGAGATGGCAACGAACTCTATTTAAATAGTCTGTCTGGTAGAGTGAAATTTTGAGAAATACTACCTCCATATGCAAAAATAAACAAAGGGCTTTTGAAAATAGATGAACTCGTTTCATGTGGCGTACAAAACTTTGAAAACAAATAAACGGTTTTTGTTTTTTTTTTTTTGGTTTCTGAGAGACTATTTGAGGATTTACAAATAATAGAAAGTGACAGCTAATATGTTCTTACATTCGTTGCAGAATCTTAAATTAACAAAAAAAAACTCGATGTGTACAACTGATCATTAATTATGCTGAGTAACACATTCTGTAAAATGATGCAATATCCAAATTCAATTGCAGTTTTCTTACACATATCTGGCGCTAAAATTTGAAGGACACAAAATAAAAAGAAGTTTATTTTTGTACGGCGGAGAGAGTATTTCCTATTGCAAATTTTATTTTAGCTTTATTTTTTTTTCTGAAGAGAGTTTTGGGGGGCAAATTATCTGGTACACTTGGGGGCACCGTGTATCTCCCTGCGCGTGTATTTTACTCTCTTAGAATAGCGTGAGCTCGCTAGATAATTCAGCTTTTTTTTTTTTTTTTAACGTGGCATATATAAATTATCGAATTCATTCAAATTTTGAAAACTTATTGTGCCAGTATTGACACTGTGGATAACCAATGTGCACACTATGGATAACCAGCTACACACTATGGACAATCAGTGTTCACAATGTGGATAACCAGTGTTGGCAATATGGATAATTAGTTATATACAGTTGAATAACCAGTATTGACAATATGGATAATTAGTTATACAAAATTAAACGTACCTTATTTCCATCATTTGGCAAACTGCCACTCATTCATTTTTTGTTCTCCATCATTTGGCAAAATGCCCCTCATTCAATTAAATACTATTTATGAAATTTGCCGTGTTCGGCAGGGGGGCGGCGCAGCCAGATCGTTTAGTTTATCACGGGGGGATTTATACAAGTAATGTGTGTCTCCTCTTAATACAATAACACACTCTCTTTACACACACACTCTCCTTACACACACACGAAAAAATGATTACCTTAGCTACATTGGCGCGTTCGGCGGGGCGGTGCAGCCGGAGCAGGTTGGTGACTTGCGATTCCGGTAGCCACGGGAGTCGTGTAGTTTATCAAATGAACATGCCGTTTGGATAGCCATTTTCTTATGGATATTTTCTTTTGTTATGTCTTTTTGGAAGCCCTCTCTGGATCCTTGTTTTATTTTGTCCACATGGTGGATAGACATTGTTTACATATGGATAAGCAGTATTGAGGTTTTGGATAACAAGTATAAACTCATGGATAATCAGGTTAAAGACTGTACTTGCATTTTTTTTTTTGACTGGATAATCACTATAAAACATTTGGATAATCAGGTGTAACAAGTTGGATAACTTGTACAAAGATCCTGGATAACCATTACAAACGGTTGGATATTGCTGCACATTGGCTGGATAACTAGTACAAAAGTCCTGGATAATCAATACAGAGCATTGGATAATCAGCAAAGAAATATTGGATAAGCAGGATAACATCCCCCAATTAACATGTTGTTTGCTTCTTTACCTTCTGGATAACCAGTTTACAACTTGTGGATAACCAGTTTACACCTTCTGGATAACCAGTTTACGCCTTGCGGATAACTAGTTTACAACTTGTGGATAAATTATGGATAACCAGCAATTGTGTGTGTGTTTGTGCGTGAGGATGAAAACAGTAAAATGAATAAAAATAATTTTGTTTGTGCATTTAATGTAAAGGTGAAAAATGTTAAACGCGTGTAGTGCGTGTGTTTGGTGGGGGTATACGGTATACTCGGGTGCACTGGATACTGACTCTTTGCTTGTTTTATTAATTCGTTTCCGCGAAGCCAAATATTGTTTGGTAAGAAATTGGTTTGTAAAAAAGCTAAAAAAATCGTCCCTTCAAAACGCGACAGAAGGAGAAACTTATCTTCTAATTTAATTCAAGGGTATTTTATATATGGTCTTCAAATAAGCATTCCTTAATTAATTATATAGTATATCTAACTTTGTAAACAAGGAAGAGAATAGGAAAAAGGAAAAAAGAAATAAAATCCTGCGATTTCTTGTTGGAGAGGTCAGGTCTTGAGCCCTTCTCCAATATAGAAGTCGGTTCCATCTTGTTTATAAATAAAGTCCTCAACACGCTGGAGAAACATAAACAAAAGAAGATTAAGAAAAAGCGTTCGTCAGCAGTTGTTTTCTTCATCATATACAAGTAAGCAATATTTTTCCTTCAAATAATCAATATTTTTGTTGTAAACATATTGCTTTTGTGTCAAATACTGTATTGATTTAGACTTTGACACGGACACCTCTATGTAAGTGTGAACAATCCATATTTTGACAACAGATGGCTCTGAGTGGATTGAAGAGGTTTTTGGGAGTGAAAACTTGGCCAGAGTTTTTCGTGAGTCCATATAGCCTCGTGGGCATCGGCCTAGGAGGTGCTGTGGTTTGGAGCTGGCCTGTAGTTCGGAAGAGATTGAATCCAAATGCCAACAATGAATAGACGCCTCAAGACCCACATAAACCACAACTCACATAGGTCACTGAGTAATAATAGAAAGATTAGAGTTTTTCTGCCTTGTTTATTTACTGTATTTAGTTTTTACATGTTTTGCTCATATTCTTCATACTTAATTCTTCCGCCATCTCATTTTTATAGTCGGTTGTTTGTGATTTTTTCTTGATTTAATATAGGCTTCTACTTTCCATTGCCATGTCATACCCACTCGATCTTTTTAAACAATATTTTATGTGAAATATTTAATACTTTACTGTTGTAAAAAATAGTTCACATTGCAAATTACAATGTGAAATAGTGTTTCTTTTTTAATTTTTTTTTTTTATTTTAAGTATTGAGCGAGCGTATAACACATCATTGTTTCGGAATGTGATTGTTTTGTTGGTTTGGAGAAAATAGGGTTTTGGACACAAATGGTCATCAAAATAAATTTAATGGACAAAAAATAAGTTGTTTTTTCAAGTACAAGAGCCAGATAAATTAATTTTAAGCAAATGTGAAAGAAAAAATAGGGGTTCAGTCTTTGTTAAAGAACACGTACCTGCTTAAAATAAACTAAGAGACCAGGGATTACCGGTAAGAGATGAATGTTCATTATTCGTTGAAAAACACACAAATATTATAATCTTTCACTCGGCCGAATGGTAAATAATATGCAATCCTTTTTTCTTTTTTTGAACACATTCATTCTTGAAGAATCTTTGAAAATAGATACTATTTGCCACCATTTGGTCTCTTTTGTGCAAGACATTGTTGATACCCGGGTAAGAGCTACTAGAAAACCTCCATCCTCGTGGAAGCATTCTATCAAATGGAAATGTGATTTGCCGTAAATTGATTCTTACAGTGACTTACTTGTAGCATGGGAAAAGAAAAACCACAGTGAAAATGATAATGATTAACCTGAAAGGCAGCTATTGATGATAATCTCGAGTCCCTCAATTCCTTCCTCTTCAATTTTTCGGACTGAATCAATGACACAACTTTCGCATAGCTGAACTTCAATCTTCTTCAGTGTTGAGATGCAACTGAATTCAAAAGGAACCTCTTCTAGCTGTTTGCATTTCCGCAACACAAGCTGTTGAAGCCGGGGTAAGTGATCTTCCCGGGCATCCCATTGAACAATGTTTAGGCTGTCTAACTCCAAGTATTTCAGTTCGCGGAACTCCCCTTCGGTCATTGTCCAGGTTGACCCCTCAAAAGCACAGGAAATCAATTTCAGAACTTCCAAGTTCTGGAGTTTTCCTACTGCTGAGATGTGACATAACGACAGGTGAAAATTCGATAGCGACAACTTCTTTAAACTTGAGGGTAAGTTCAATTCCCCGCTGTTAAGAGCCACGCCGAGGTAGGAGATATTGAGTGACTCCAACTTTGCTAGTGATCCCCAAGCAGGTACCAAACAAATATCCATGGAAACATTTGGTGGTTCAGAATATATGCATTTCAGTTTTTGAAGATTGGGGAACTTCATTAGTATCTCATTCGTTTCTTTCCCCAACAGAACATACATCAATGAAAGTGTAACAAAGCCATCCAACTGATCGCGTGATGTAGGCGAAGAAAAGATAGCATGACTTGTAACATGAAGATGCCTCAACTTCCTCATTCTCCAAATGGTGACTGGTAGGACAATCTTACTCTTCAAGCTCTTCAAAAGGAAGCTTTCCAAATTCTCTAGGTCAGAAAATGAGGGTGGAATAGATTCCATGTCACCAAACATCGATAAGTATCTCAAATCAACAAGCAAGTTTATTCCATTTGGAAAAGAGCTTCCCATATAAATGGATTCCAAATCCAACACTCTAAGGCGTTTAAAGCTTGTAGTGATGAAGGAGACATCATAGGAGCATCTGGGATGCTTATCAGTAGTGGCAGCGAACATTAGAGAACGGACAAATGGGCCAGATGGCCTTGATAGAACAAAGTGTTCTCGGTTAACAAAAAAGCACAGTCGATACTGCTCATATTCTATGGAACATGATGCATCGAAATGCTCATAGTGAACACCATATTCTAAACGATTAAAAGAAGCATAGGGATGATCCTCACCAGATATCAACTGCAAAAAACGGTCTTCTTCAGCTTTCAACAAGCACAAATCACGTACTAGATCATGCACTCGACATGCTTTCACTTTGCCGCTTGATCCTCTTTTCGCCACTATTACTAGGCTTCTACCAACTAGATCCATTAAGTAATCCTCAGCAAGATCCTCCAAGCTTTTGAACTCACACTTGCTTATGAAGCCTTCTGCCATCCATAATGACTTTAATTTCCAAGTTGGAATGTCCTTGTCCTCTGGAAATGCCCCAAAATAGAGCAAGCTAGCTTTTAGGTGATCAGGTAAATGATCGTAGCTCAGTGCTAAAATTTTCTTGCATTGACTTTCTGGACTGAGTATCTGTGAACTAACACTTTCAGATATCTGCTTCCACATCATTTGGTTCTTATTTGAAGCATCAAGAATACCTGCTATTGCACAAATTGAGAGAGGTAGCCCTTTGCAATTTTTGGCAATTTGTTGTCCAACTTCCAACAGTTCTTCAGGACAGTGTTCATTCCCAAATGTCTTCAACTTAAGCAAGTCCCAACTTTCTTCCTCCGAGAGAGGATGAAGAAAATGGGAATCATTAATTTTTGAAAGCTCCATTTCAAGACGACCTGTCATCAAAATTCTGCTACCATTTGAATCATCGGGAAATGAGATCTTCAATTCATCCCAGGCACCAGTACCCCACATGTCGTCTAGAACAATTAGGTATCTAATTTTCTTCAACTTTCTATAGAGTAGTAACTCTAAGTCTACATCGCTCTTTGCATAAAAATTATCCATGTCAGTGATAATGTTGCTTAAAATACCAAGCATCAAGTCCCTCTTGTTATATGTTTGCGAAACACAACACCATGAGCGAATAGGAAAGTGATACATAACTCTTGGACAACAGAACACATTATGGGCTAAAGAGGTCTTACCGACTCCTGGCATCCCAACTATCGAGACATTATCTCGCTTTTGTGTGCCTCTTGTAAGTCGATCAATTATCATTTCTTTCTGATCCTGGAGGCCAACCATAACTTCATCAACTTGCACAACAGAAACCTGTGACATGCTAGGCATCAGCCTCCTGACAACAATTTGGGATCTCTCACTGTATCCACTGTTCCCTTTAAAATTTGCAATCTGCAATTTTAATTGCCTAATTTCTCCTACCAGATGACCAAACCACAGAAAATGTTGCGGGAGATACTTTTTTTCTTCCATCATTAAGTCGGAGAGATGTTCTGCTCTGTACGTCACATTGACAAGCTGGGTAAGCAGACTCACGAATTCAAGTTGATCAAAAACATCCTGGGAGTTAGGTTCTTTTAGCTTCAAATCTTTGCAAACAGCTTCAATTTCATATGTTACATACCACAAAGAATCATGCTCACAGCTAACCCTTTCTAAATTCTGCAATGGACCCCCAACAAAGCAAAGTCCAGGAGTCTTAGGGAGATTAAACTTTGGAATTTGATAATCCCCTATGATCTTTGCTATCCATTGCTGAACTTTATCAGTTAAATTAAGGAGCCGGGCATCCATATTCTTGGCTTCTTCTTTGTTTGCTGCAAATGCTCTAGTTAGAGTTAACACTTCAGTAGCCATCACTTCAAAATCTGTCAAGAGCAGCTTCTCATCCTGCTCTGCATTCTTTTTCCACTTCTTGAGAAATACATCTATCAGATATTGGAGTCCGTCACGAAGAAATGTAATCTTGTGCTTCAAGAATAACATCAGAATCAAACTTCCATCTTCATTCAACTTTGACAAACATGTCTTCGCCTCTAATACCAAGGTAAGTACAAAACACTTGTAGAGCAAATCACCAAACTTGATATCTTCCAAGTAGTCCTCCTTAGTACTAGAGGAGGACTGATAGAAAGATTTCACTTCACTAGGAAATGCAATGATGACCTTCTCTATCAGAATTTTGTCAGTATAATATTCAAGCCTTATAGATTTATTCCCCTCATTGACATCAGGAAGTAGGAGAATGGCAATTTCAAGCTCAAGACAGCGAACTCTTTTCATAAAAATTGCACAGTCAGGTTTACCTTTATCCCACTTGCATTGATGCTGCAGATGATTTAGATATCTGATCTCGAGAACCACATCTCTAAAAGCTGCTAAAATCCGAGGTACATCCACCATGTCCTTGTGATGTATTTCTCGCGATTTGATGAGAAGGGGAAGCAGAGACGCCAATGCATCAACGAGTTCCAAGCTGGCCTCACACACATCTTGTATATTTAAAATATGTTGGAAAAAATGTTTATATGGCCAATGATACTCTTCAAGAAGGCTTGGTGACTGCTCAGGATAGTGTTGTAGGCTTTTCACAATGGCATCTAGGAATTTACAAGGATCGAGGTCCAGTTTGCAGCTATGGTCTGAAAGCAAAAGAGCCAGATGTCGTTTCTTGCTCTCATTCATAACTGTTGGATCATTGTACCAGGAGCAACAACACAGGCGGGCAAACTCGACAATGATTCCTCCAAAATAAGCGTGCGGCATATCATCAGCGAATCCCTTTTCAGTGATATTCTTATCAGTGAGAAGCCAATTGACAGAATTGAGTCCTTGTACCAATGCATATATTTGATCCCTCAACTGATCACCCAAGTAAGAGTATTTCTCCATGGCACACAAATATAGCACACCCTGGTCTAGAGAATCACAGATAAAGCCCCAATCCAAAGGGCTGTACTTATCTACCAAAATGTATGGTGCAAATGATACAAATTTCAGGGCGTCAAGGATTTGATCTTCGTAAGCTTGACGGATAACTAGCTTCAAATCACAACACTTTCGATCTAAATTGGCGAAAACTCGAGAAAACTTCCAACGTTTAGATTGTAGGGCATTTCGCACCAATTGGGTTAGCCTACTACTAGTCAGATGATCAAGAGCTCCATCAAATATCTCAAGAAAATCATGCTGAAGAAGCATTTTCAATTCTTGAGCAGCAGCTTCAACTTTGATGGCAAACTGTGTGTCATTGGTAATAAGCACATATTCATCGAAGTAAAATGTTTTCAGAAAGACACAAAAGAATTCCAATTCCGCCATCACAGAAACCATCTTCTTCTCGGTAACCCGATCCAAACACCATTTCAATTTCCAATTGTCTTTCTCTTTGCTTATTAAACTTCTACTTCGATTAACTGCCCAACAAAAATCATCTGGGTACTTCATTTTCATGCTCATCTCCGAGAAGAGTTTTTCGAGAGGTTCTTAAATTGATTCATTCCTTGGCCACGATTGGCATATCTAGCCCAGAAATTCAATAATTAAACAGAGCCCATCACTTAGGATGAAAAAGAAAGCACCAACATATGAATCGAACAAGATAAAAACAACAAAGGAATTCAATAATTGCATACCTTCTTCATGATGAAAAGCCAGGGGAAAAAGAACTTCCACCGTTCCACGCCGCATTTTGATATTTTTTTGTAAGGGAACCAATTCAAAGTCAATGTTTGTTCATACTTCAAGGCTTAAGAGTTAAGACTGAAAGTCTCTGTCTGTTTCATTTGACTTTTTTAGTTTATGGGGAATATTGCAGTATTGGTCCTTCATTTTTTCGAAGTTCTTGCTATTATCTTTGCGATGTAAACAAATTTAGTCCACAACTAATAATGCCAATTACCATGTGCTTAAGTAAATGATCTAATGGCAATTTGAAAATAGGTGCGGTCTTTAACAAGGTTCATACTTGATAGGACACTTGGCTAACATTATTTCAAAGGGGTGATAAGATTAATGGTAGAATCTCATTTGAGGTGTGTAAATATTAAAATGAATATTGAAGAAAATGTAAACTTGATCAGCTCCTACCATATCTGGATGGTTGATCCAGGAAGAAAACATGACTAATTTATTCTCTTAAATAAATTAGTACGTCGATCGGTATCAGAATATCTCATACAAGAATACAATGGTAACCCATGATATGAAAATAACCAGAAAAAAAAATTGGAACCCGAAAAAGAGAAAGATATCCAAGTCTTTAAATGTTATTAATATATTTGCAGATCAAATTATGAATCGAGAGCTCATTAGTTGCTTCTTCTCTATGCAGGTTTATCTTGTTTGTAGTTCACTAGGGAAAATATGCGGATACAAATGATATTAAGGCCCTAAGTTTGACAGTTTCTTTTACTCTCAAATATGTTCTCTTATACATATGAGAGGCATAAAAAATGGCATTTATTAAAGCTTGGAACCGAGTGAATGAAAATGCATTTTTTCTTTCTTCAATTTTGAATGATTCATACTCAGAGAACAAAAACAAGACAAAGGCCAGAAATTTGAACAAATTAAGGGGAATTTATTAATATTATTATTTTATTTTATTTTTGTTTTTTATCATCTCATTTATACAGAATAGATGGGAATAATTTCCGACAAATTGAATTTTTTTTATTTTTTTTTTACCATGACTTTTATACTTGCATTAAGAAGATCAGCCGTGATGAACATGTGACTTCATGAAGTTGAAAAACGAGCTGTTGATATGACAATCTTGGAAATTAACGCTTCAATTCCTTGCTCTTCAATTCTTCTTAATTACTGACTCAACTGCAGACAATCTCGGCATATATAGCTTCAAAATAACCAGTTGTAGAAGCTGAACATTAGCGAATGGACAATTAGGCTAGATGGCCTTGAATACAGCAAATGGTTCTTGATTAACAAAAAAAGCATTCGAAAAGCTTATAAATCAAAATAGTGAACATGACCATAATCTGAACGGTTGGAAGGAAAATAGGGCTCATCATTTCCAGATACCCCAACTGGACGAAACTGTCCTCTTTACCTTTCAACAAACATGAATTGTGAACTCGACATGATTTCACTTGGCGGCCCGGTTGATAATTGAGAGACTATAATAAATGTAAAAATACATTTTTAAGATTTTATTTTTAATTAGAAAAATCTATTAAATAATATTTAGTAAAAATTAAAATATCTTATAATAAGAACTGAAAGAGTACATTTTATTATTCACGAGGGAAACACTTTAACTTTATTGCTGGCCTGCCCAAAACTCATTTTATTGTTGGAAATACTTCAAAAAACAACTGCGTGTTGGGACTATATGGTCCAAATCAACTATGCGGCATTTGAATAATCGAAGCGGTTTATTTTTTGCAGTAACGAAATTGTAATAATCCTAATACGTCTGACTAGCTACCGTACTAAGAAATTAGGTTGTCTAACATATAGTAGAAACTATTGATTTCAGAATCGAACCAATCACATCAAATGCTATATGAAGCCATTTATAATGTGAGATGATTAATTATATTTGTGAATTACCATACAGAGGCAGAACCACCTTGGGGTCTGGGGGTCTCGAAACCCCCCGGCCGATCGGAGAAACCCATAGGTGTACCTCCGGTCAAAGCCTAGGTGGTTCCCTTTTGCTAACTAAGACCCCCCCCCTCCCCCCTCCCGGATATTGGAGGGAGGAGGTGTTTGAGGAAGACAAAATCCAAGCCCTTAGCCCTTAAGGGCTTGGTTATTATAGTAATTGAAAATTTCCGGCGGCGGCGATAGACAATCAGACTTGCAGCATTTACTGTCAAGGAAGAAGAAGAAGTCGTAAGAATTTAGAGTTCTAAACATTGCAAAGTTAATTATCAATGTTTGAAAATATTATATAAAGTTTCCCATGTCGCTTGAAAAGAAACTTTTGGCCTTTTAGTTTTCTAAAAACAGTTAAATTTACCCCACGTGAAGCATTTGGATTATGTTAATAAATTTTGTGCATTTTTATTACTGTTTTCGAAACGAATTTATCTAAATTTCTTATATTATTATTAAATGATTACCTATCAGTAAAATGACAGCATGCAACATAAATTTAAAGTTAAATAGAAAAATTTAGAGTTAAACTTTTTTCGTAATTATTATATAGTAACATATAAATGATTTAGCTATATTCATTCATGGAACGTATATAAGTTTTTTCTACACTTACATCTAATAGACAGTCAACCCCCCAATTATTAAAAGCTGGTTCCGCCACTGTTATCATGGACTGTCTGCGATATTAATAATCTTCATGGGGTATATATATAATTTGCTCGGATAACAAAATCCCTCAGAATTTCTACATCCACTGCATCTCGAATGCTCAAAAGAAAATGTGTGAGGTATATTCTTATCGTATTTTAATTAGTATAATCATTTGTTGCTACAACCAAAACTCTTTCAATTCAAAACCAGTTTTCACTAATGTACAACAAGAATTTCTGGTCGGGTTTTGTGAGATGAGGTGAAAGATTAGACAAGATAGTGAGATTTTAGACTCTACTAGACGTGTAATGTATCCGGCCGAAACACAAATGTTCACCTTAATATAGCATTAAATTTAAATAATCTACAGCACCAATAAATAGTTTTATTTTATAAAAAAAAACAAAGACAAAGAAAAACGCTCGAAAACATGGATTGTGGTTCGAACAAATTCTAAGAAGAAATTAATAATGTAATGAAAACGACCAAGAAAAAAAAAAGAAAAACCTTCTTGATGAGAGTGATGAGACGTGCAAAAATTATTTGTCATCACTAGTAGGAATCTATCTTCTCAAAATCCGACCTCAAAATGATTTAAATTATCTATTTATTGGGAAAATTCTTATTAAAGGCGTAATAGGAACTGAAATTTCTAAAAAAGATGTTTATGTTTTATATATCACATTAAGGGTGTAAACTTATATATAGTATTTTTATTATTATTGAAATGACTCATTTGTCTTTCTCATCTCCCTTTTGCACTAGAGAAAAAAATATGAAGGGGTAAAAACGGGTAGCATCGCTGGAGTTAATCATGAAGACGAAAGTTCCAACGCTAAAAATTTTTCTCCAAATTTCATAATGTGTATGTGCACATATCCAAATTTGCTCCATTGCTCGCCAGATTCTCATATTCAACTCCTGCAACTTTAAAATGTCATTTTCTACAAATTCATTGTTTATTTTAGACGTAGAAATCATAGATTTCAATTATTTTAGAAAATTTTTGACAATGAAAATTGTGAAGTCAAATATTTTATCGATATCAAAATCTCTATTATTTATGACTACAAGATATTAACAATAGAATGGATTTGCTTCTTTTCTTTGAGATTGTCAATATTTTGAGTAATACTTAATTAAATTTGTGTAAGTTAATTTGAGAAATAATGCCGGTAAAGAACTGAAATTGATGATGGAGGCTGAATTAGGGATTTAAGTGTTGATTTTTTTTCCCCAAGTTGGATGGTTATGTGATGAAGGCGCAGGTCTTTTGGAGCTTGTTCGACTGGGGGAAGGAAGATGATGAGGACATAAGAGTCCTTTCAACTAAATAAAAAATGCCGACATATAATTTTACGCCCCCTCTTTAGGAATTTTAATTTCTACAGTGCTCTTAAAGACTTATTTTAATTTCACAACTTAATTTCTTAGACAAGAAGTTTTCTGTCTCTTTCACTTTTCTTCCTTTTCAGTTTGGGTTTTATTTTATTTTTTTAAAGTCTATAAACTATTCAATATGTGACCCAAATTTGACATAAAAGAAACTTATTTAAGATTATTACTTCCATGAAATATTACGGGTTTGGATTCTTGACTCTTTATGTTCCAGCAAGATGGTCTTCCTGAGAACAAGCGACAGAAACTGCCAAATTGGAGCAGGTTAGGGGAAATATCTTTTCTTTAAGAAAGGCAAAATGTTTGAGTTCACTGCAAATTTAAACGTCATACTCTATGCATGCTAAACAAATCATGTTAATTGATCATGACTCTCTCTAGAAAAGGGATTATTTAATTTTGAGCACTTATCTCTCATGAAATATTTAACAAACTTCCAGTTTCACTGTTTTTGAGAGCAAACATTATATTAATTAATGAGGAAGATTAGATAAGAATATGGTGGTATTATATATAGAAGGAAATGAGGTTTCATTTCAAAACTTATTATAGAAGGAAATGAGGTTTCATTTCAAAACTTATTGACATTAAAGAACATAGAAATGGCGATATCAATAAAAAGGTGATAAAGAATATCTAACGTATGAAAGAGGTTGTCTTTTCTCTCTCTAAATTTCTCTCTCCTCCTTATTCTCTCTCGACGGATGAAAGCGTTCTCTAGATTGCGTCTGCCATGGCAAGAAGGAAGACGGGGAAGAAGAAATTGGAGCAACAGAATGACGATATTGAACGTATTGTTGATGAACTTGAAGGATCTGGCCAAAAAAAGGAGAATCGAGCAGCAAAAGGGTGACAAGCCCTAGCCCTAATTTGAGTAAAACTGGGGGAACTGAAAGATTTAGTGATGGTTGTGAATCAGGGAACCAGAAGGATCTGATTGAGCATCAAGGGCATCGTACTGAAGCACGTTGACAACTGACTTGGTCGGAGAGAGTGGTTCAGGAGGAGAAGCTGAATTCCTGGAAGGAGATGGATATGGCAAAACTCAAGAAGCCGGGGAAG